GTTATGGAACACATTAATTAACTGAAAAATGTTGCATAGTGTGCCTTTAATAAGGTGATGCAGCATTGTGTTTTTAAGACTTTCTGAAAGGTTAATGGTAACACTTATTAATACTTTATAAGTAGGTTTCTAAGTAATGGTCTTCTCCTCTTCACAGCTGCACCAAATGTTTTTACATACAGAAATACTACTACATCTAAAGACAGGTTGGGTTAAAAGTGATTTAAATATATTTTTGATAAGTTAATATCTTTTTATTAATATCTTATTAATCTGTATGTCATGCATCTTCAGGTGGGGAGGGCTAACTTTTAATAAGTTATACAGTGAACCCCTTGAGCAAAAACAGCCTGTTAAATACTCAAAGGTAGGAATTTCTTAATGCTATTATTCTTTGAAAAAGCCTCCATTAAGTCAGTGGAGTAAAGTTCACTTGCGTTGTTGCAGGAAAAAGATGCAGCAGAGGTGGACCTTTCTGCCGAAGTCGCTTCTCGCCTTAATCTAGCTGACAAAGATGCTTCTGCACTCGGCATCAGTGAAGCGCCACCTGCCTACGCCTTTCACATGTGGCACAGTGATGAGGACATCCCCAGGCTGACCAGAGTGAGATTTGGTGTTTAAATGTGACGTTTCTCTGCATGGTTGCATCCTGTCGTCTTCATGACGTACTTCTCGGTCTCATAGGAAATGGCCATGGAGGTTAATGAGGCTTTGGCTCAAAGAGATCCTAACCTTGTTTTAAGTGCAGCTTTCAAACTTCGCATCACGCAGCGAGACCTGTCAACTCTACTGGAAGGTGGATGGCTCAATGATGAGGTGCCTGTATGATCAACACAAACCATCACTAATTCAATGATACGGTTGAGTTGATGAAATAAAAAAAACAAAAAAAAAACAAATTTTGTGGCAATATTTTTTCAAGGTAATGAACTTCTACCTCTCCCTCGTCATGGAACGATGTTCTGGAGGAAGTGGGAGAATCAAGGTCTACACTTTCAGCACCTTCTTTTACCCGAAGCTGCGAGGCGGTGGAGCAGGAGGACTGCCAGGAGGATATGTAGCTGTGAAGCGCTGGACCAAAGCTGTTGACCTCTTCATGTTTGACCTCATCCTTGTTCCACTGCATCTCGGTGTCCACTGGGCGTTAGCTGTGAGTCGGGCTCTTAACATTACTGTTAGGTTTAAGAACTCGTTTTTTTTTTTGTTTGTTTTTTTGTTATTACCTTTTATTTCAATATTTTAAGAATAGAAGAATAGAATTCAACTTTTATTATAATTACACCGTCACAAGTACAAAGCAATGAAATTCATTCTCTGCATTTAACCCATCCCCTTGGGAAGCAGTGGGCTGCCATTGTGCAGCACCCGGGGGGCAGTGTGGGGTCAAGGGTCTTGCTCAGGGACCCGGAGTGGCAGTCTGTGGGAGTGGGGCTTGAACTCGGAAAACAGTTTGTAAAACAACATTATGCTAATAGTCACTTTACAAAATGAAAAATATGAAAAATGGAAACAAGAATGTATAAAATTCCATGAGTGAACAAGGAGCAGCAAGAAATAGCATCTTAAATTAACAACAGCTCTCAAGTTTCAGTGGAACAGAATTAAGTTTGATCGCTTTTCCTAATTTATATATTTATGAAACAAAGGGGGAAAAAATAAGCTACTATGTTTTTTTTTTGTTTTTTTTTCAATAATGATCGTTTCCAGTAGAGGATACCTTAAATTAAAATGGAAAACGATTAATTTAATATCAAATTTAACAATGATTCTACTTTTATTTAAATGTATTATCAACTAGAAATTTTGATTTGGCAGATATAATGCATATTTGCCTAAATGTAGTTTGTATATTTTAGATTTTGAAAATAACTTTTTTTACTCCTATTACTGTGGTTTAAGCTAATGCAAAATTTTTTTTCTTTTTTGTGTTTTCATACTACAGAAAAATGTTCAAGATTACAAAATAAAATGATGTAGTCTTATTCAAAGTTGAATAAAGTAAACTTTTTATCCTTTGTGTTCTTTGTAAACATTTTTATGAATTTTATGGTTTAAACTGTTCCTTCATATTTTAAGTTAAATTCTCCACTTAGTTTAAAAATTATCAATTAATAAACCCCTTATTAAGTTAACTTTCATTGTCAACGATATTTCTGCCATATTGTTTAAGCCCAAGTGAAAACATATTAATAATCTGGATAAAAGAAACTTTGTTTTCTTCACAAACGTGATCAATGTATATATTATAAAGGGATTGTGTTCCAAACATTAGAACCTGTGCATCTCTGCATTTAATGTTCTTGCATTCTGTTATTTTGTTTAGCTTCATTAAACTTTTTAAACTTTAGATTTACCATTTGTTCCTATAAAAGTATTCTTTTTCTCTTAGGTGATAGATTTCAAGTCAAGAACTGTAAAATCATACGACTCAATGGGTCAGAGACACGATGACATCTGCAATCTTTTACTGTAAGTCTGTAATCTCTCTCATTAGATCCTGTATTGATGAAAATCCAGGATGAATGATTTTCTTTTAATTATACTGAGCTAAAAATGATCCAGCTCTACTTTTCCTCCAGACTTTACCTTACAGAAGAGCACAAAGCAAAGAAAGGAAGGGAACTTGACCGTGCCAAATGGACTGTTGGAAGCCTGAAGGTTGGTGTACATTAAACATGCTTTTTACATAATTTTTTTAATTGTATCCGCATGTAAGAGATTGATGCATCATTCTGCAAAAACAGGATATTCCTCAGCAGAAAAATGGGAGCGACTGCGGTGTTTTTGCCTGTAAATATGCAGACTATATTGCAAAGGGAAAGCCCCTCACTTTTAAACAGGTAAGTGCAAATATCTATATAATTCCACCACTTATGGTTTAACTTGTAAACGAGATGTTTGCACAAAAGCATTTGTATTCTACTGCTTTCTACTTCTTTTACACCTTTAACGTTTTCTTTACAGTGTGTTATACTAGGCAACTTGTTGTTCTAATTTAATTATCTTTGTTTTTAGTGCCACATGCCTCTCTTCAGGAAGTTAATGATGTGGGAAATCCTCAATCAGAAGCTGCTA